TTATTTCAGTGCCATTGTAACTTATGTAAACGGTCATAAGCGAACTGTTGTAAGTTGAGGATTATCTGTGGTGAGCAAAAAGGCTGTATGGTTCAGAGATTGAAAAAAGATTAGTTTACAGTGTGTACATATAAAGGGAAAAAATATTCAGATGTTGCCCACCCATCCAATGATACACCATTACAGATAGTCCTTGTCTTACAACCATTCGTTTAGTGATTGTTTGAAGTTATAACGGCACTGAAAAAGTGACTTTTTCACACTTACGACTGTCGCGGGATCACCCTAGTAGAAGGATCAAACTTAGGGGACTTGGGAACCTAATTCATATTTATGATGGTTGCAGCGTCCCAAGATCATGCTTAATGAGAGGCCAGATTTGCTTAATGACTGCAAGAGTCACTTAACAACTGCAATGATCTGCTTAAGAACTGAGGCAGAAAAGGTCGTAAAATGGGTCAAAGGTCACGGTGGCGTAGTGGTTAGAGTGCAGTAATGCAGGCTAATTTTGCTGATCACCGGCTGCCAGCAGCTTGGCAGATCGAATCTCATCAGGCTCAAGGTTGACTCAGCCTTCCATCCTTCTGAAGTGGGTAAAATGAGCACCCGGATTGTTGGGGGCAAGAGGCTGACTTTGTAAAAACTGCTTAGAGAGATCTGTAAGAGTACTGTGAAGCGGTATATAAGTATTATTGATATTGTTCTCTTCCTTCCTTCCTTCTTTCCTCCCCCACCCCTCCCTCTCTGGTAGCGAAGTGCTTAAAATGCAGTATTGCAGGCTAACCTCTGCCCACAGCCAGGAAGTTTGATCCTGACTGACTCAAGGTTGACTCACCCTTCTGTCCTTCCGAAGTGGGTAAAATGAGGACCCAGATTGTTGGGCAAAATAGGCTGACTCTGTAAACTGCTTAGAGAGGGCTGTAGAGCACTGTGAAGTGGTATATACAAGTCTAAGTGCTATTGCTGTTAACAATTGCCTTTGTTTAGAAATGAAAATTTTGGGCTCAGTTAAGGTAAACTGAGGACTAATCTGCATTTATGCTGCACAAGGCTTTCCATGTTGTTGCTGACAGATCCGATAGAATTAAACTTAATTTGCATCTGAAACCAACAGGGATGGAAAACAAAATCCTGCCTTTTCCCAGGTACGACTTGCTTGTGGCAGATATGTATTATGTATTAGATGTGTATTCTTTCAAGATTGGAAAAAGCATCATGAGAACCCTTTCTTGTTTTTTTTCCCCCAGGTTGCCTAGGAAACTCAAAGCCCAGCAGTCGGCGTACCTCCCCGAGATCTTTGGCTTGTGCTTCAGACCCCCTGGCTAATTCTGAAGAGAGAATATGTGAGGTTTCCGATTCCAATGTTGGTGCTTCTGCTTTAAATGGCATAGCTGCTGGGGAAAAGGCCAGGAAAGGAATAGCGGTGGGGTAAGTTTGGTGTGACTGGGAAAAGAACATACGGGTAGTCCTTGGCTTTACAACCACAATTGAGCCCAACATTTTTGTTCCTAAGTGAAACATTTTTTAAGAGAACTTCGCCCCATGTTACGACCTTTTGTGCCATATTTGTTAAGAGAATCACTGGAGTTGTTGAGCAATATGGTTATTAAATGAATCTGGCTTCCCCATTGACTTGGCAGGGTGCAAGGGGGGATCCGGTGATCCCGAGACACTGCAACTGTCATAAGTACGAGTCAGTTCTAAACTCCTTAATTTTGATCACATGACCACAACAGTGGTTGGTTCCGGGTGATATGGCCCAGTACGGCCGTATCAGTAGTAGCCGGGAGCAGCGGCCACCATAGTGGTACGGTGGCTCGTTTGGCCCACCTGCCCACCTGCGTTCCATGGCTGTTTATAACGGCCAATTGCGCACAAGCACATAGCATGCGGCGCCTGCGCGACCTCCGCCGAGCAGCTGGGTGTCGCAGGGCAGTGCCGTGCGCATGTATGTGCAGTGCGCGTGCCCGACTAGGATGCCCGGCCCCGTGCATGCTGGTTGCAACGGGATCCGGAACCCACCACTAGACCACAGAGATGCTGCAACAGTCATAAGTGTGAAAAACAGTCCTCAGTCACTTTCTTCAGTGCCGTTGTAACTTTGAACGGTCATTAAATGAACTGTTGTAAGTCGAGGACCACCTGTACATACAATCATGGGGTTTGAAGGGACCTTGGAGGTCTTCAAGTCCAACCCGCTGTGACAGGCGGGAATTATTATACCGTTCCAGAAAAAAAGGTTAACCACCAGGCTGTCCCTCTCCTTAAGAGCTCTCACAGGAAATTACCCTTTGTTTACTCTTCCACTTATGTAAAGCTTCCCCTTCATGGTTCTTGTCCTTTGGTGCTACAGAGAGTAAACATAAAGGCAAATCTTCCCCTTTGACAGCCTTTCAAATGTGGGTGCTCCAACATTGGAGGTTTTTAAGAAGAGACTGGACAATCACTTGTCTGAAATGGTATAGGGTCTCCTGCTTTGAGCAGGGGGT